TCTCTGCGCCCTGCCCCCGCACCATTCACCCGTTTTCTGGCAGAAGAATTCAGTAGCACGAGCTGGTGTAGATGGTCCCCTCCAGCCATGTGTACTGGCCACTACACAGTACTGAAATGAGGTCAGATCCGGTTTTGGTGCCCTCTGTCCGATAAAAAAAAATAGAAAAATATTGGACACGTGAAATGTCTGGTATATTCTTTTTTTTTTCTGGCTGGGTGCTGGACAGAAGCCTGGTGGGGGCAGGAGGGGAGTGGCTGGGAGGGGATGGATGGTCCCCTCCAGCCATGTGTACTGGCCACTACACAGTACTGAAATGAGGTCAGATCCGGTTTTGGTGCCCTCTGTCCGATAAAAAAAAATAGAAAAATATTGGACACGTGAAATGTCTGGTATATTCTTTTTTTTTTCTGGCTGGGTGCTGGACAGAAGCCTGGTGGGGGCAGGAGGGGAGTGGCTGGGAGGCGATTGGTGCTCGGAGCCTGTGGTAGCGTGCAAAAGCCTGGTGGGGGGAGTAACTGGGATGAATAATTTTTCACATCCCAAGGAACCCCTACCTATGAAAATGTTTGCTTTGCAAGAAAAAGTTGACATTGGGGAGCGCAATTCAATTACTGGTAAGTTTTAGAGGCAGCAAGGTGAGGAGGGGGCCACAATTGACTAGTCGACATTACTATCCGATAAACAAATGCTTCTCAGATAGCTGACTAGTCAACTAGTCTTCAACATCCTTAGAATGGAGATCAACTAGAAAATGTTGCTGGTCAGAGTGCTGGTTCAGTGACTCCAACAGTAGCGTGTGGATACAGACACAAACCTGCCCCTTGTTCTAGCGGCCAAGCAAGCAGGGCCATTCACACACCTGCAGTGCTGGGGACCCCAGGCCCGGCCTGAGGGTGCACAGAGAGGGAGTGCGACAGTAAGGCAGTGCCATGGCGGCACATTCCTGCGTGAGAGCATTTGGCAGGTGTCTTGCTTTTGCAAGGGCATGTGTGTGTGACGTGTTCCAGTTAGAGAGTGTTCTGGCAGCAGTGCGAGACGGGTACTTGGGTCCCACTCCTGGAGAGCGACACCTCTTACCCTCCCCTCCCCAGCCGGAGCCTGCAATGGCTCAGACAGTCTGAGAGGGCCAGAGGGAAGAGCCAGGTGGGACAGGGACTTGGGCTCAGAGTCCCACAAATGACTGCAGCGTGCATCGGCAGACACTGAGACTTGTTTGATAGTTCACACATGGGAACTCTGCTTCCGCTCCAATGATGCACTGATGTGGATGGGGGGGGATTGCAACTCCCATGGCGCATTCTGGCATGCGGCAGGAGTTGTGCATCTCGCATCCCTCACGGGGCAACAAACAGCAGTCATGTGGGCGCTGTGAGCTCTCACAGTGTAGTGTCGTGCTGGCATGTGTGGCGCGGTAGGGGCCCACATGCCATCCCACGGACCAGAAGTGATGTTTGACTGGTCCGTGGCCTGATAGCAACCGACTGGGAACCGTGACCGGAAGGTGTCCAGGGACATGCTCCAATCCCGTCCCCCGGGAACAGGGCCCAAAGTCAATTGTCTCCAGTGAGCGCTTAGCAGGTGCGAGGACTGTGAGTGGCAGGCAGAGACACGGAGCCAGGCGGGACGGGTTCAGACTTGAGGCGCCCAACTGGGACAGGGACTGGGGTCGGGTGTTTCCTGCAGCGGTGCAACCAGTGCACCCCCCAGCTCCAGTGGTACGCGGGGCAGAGGAGGGATACCAGAGACCATGACCAAGCGGTGATGGAGGCTGGAACCGCTCCAACAAGGCACCACTCTGCTTAGGGTTTCCAGGTGTCCAGTTTTTGAGCATTTTTTTCAGGAAACAAATTGAGAAAATATAAATGTCCTGTATTTTCTAAATCAGATGTTACATAGATCGTGATGTAATGTGAAGTGTGTCCGGTATTTTTGTTGAAACCATCTGGCAGCCCTAGCTCTGCTCCTTGCTTGGGGGGGTGGCGCCCTGCCTCTGGGGCAGGTCCTGAGGTCACAGGGAGCGGGTTCGCCAGGAAATCCTACCCTGGGTGGGCAGAAGAGAAGCGACACGGTGCATGCTGGGCGATGTAGCGTTTCCCCGGGCCCATAGCCTCCACAGGCCCCCAGGGCACCATAGGAGGAGCATTTCCAACAGATCGAGAGAAGTGATTATTCCCTTTTATTGGGCACTGGTGAGGCCACATGTGGAGTGTTGCATCCAGTTCTGGGCCCCCCATTACCGAAAGGATGTGGACGCATTGGAGAGGGTCCAGCGGAGGGCAACTGAAATGATTTGGGGCCTGGAGCACATGACCTACGAGCAGAGACCGAGGGGTTTGGGCATCCTTAGGCTAGAGAAGAGCAAGGTGAGATTTGATAGCAGCCTTCGCCTCCCCGCAGCGGGGTTCCCTCCGTAGTGCCAGATGCAGGAATG